TTTTGGATTTCCCATCGCCGAAGACATATGGAGAGTCTGGATCTCCCTGGCGGGCACACAGATAGCAATAAAAACCTGACAGGAGTTTCAATGCTTCTTCTCTTTATCCTAAACTAAAAAAAAAAGTTCTGGCTTTAGGGCTAGATGACACTTGAATAGCACAAAAAAGCAGTCCCCGTTACTTTGCGATTCCTGTACATTCCTATGCTGTGCAAATGGGTTGCGGAAAAAGTGGTGCTGTCAGAGCCTGGGTCCGAACCTGGGCGTTATGCAGTGAGGGGCAATGTTTCTTCTTGCTGAGCCACCTGGAATGCTGGACAGCTGCCTTGACAATTATCTGGATGATCCTACCTTGACCTTGTTTATCATGAACCTTGAACCCCTTGTTCTTCCCATGAATTTCCTGATATAAGCCATGTCTCTGCACTTCCTGTTTGCCAGATTATTGTGCTCTCCAGCCAGTATCGTGCTCCTTATCATCTCTGCTGTTATCCGTATTTTGCTATCACTCGTTATTGACCTTTGACTTCTTCTCGACTATGCTTCTGCCTGATCCCAACCTGCGACTGCTCCTTACTGACCTTGGCTTGTTTACTGTCCATGCTTCCATTTGATCATTACCTGCTTATGGTGATGTGATCCTGAGGACCACGACCTGGTGCTAACACGCAGCCAAATCCATTTCCACCATCAGGAGCTCTGGTGAACACCAATTGATACTTAGACTCCACACCTCGGGTGATCCCACTGCTCCGCCACGGTGTCATGCCTGTGTACCTATCCTGCTGGTTTCAGGTGAGCCTTTCCACTGCTATAGCAACTGGTCTTTGAGCCTGACCCCTGATCGTGACAGGTGCATGTACTACCTTTCAAAAACCCACCCCACCCAGTAGTGTAGATTTAGATTTTGCGCTGCGCTAGACAACACAAACAATCTGAGAGAGAATGAGAGAGACACGCCATCTCTGAAATCCCGGCTCCCTTCCTGGAGTCTCACGGCAGCTCCCCCGATTCCCCTCACTCTGCTCTCCCACCTGCCGCCCAGCCCCGGCACCCCTCGGAGTCTCCTCATGCACAGCGCCATCCGCTCCCATTTACCGGAATCGGTGCCTGAAGGCAGAGCACAGGGTGTGAAGTACAACCAGTATCCCTTCTGAAAAATGCTGCCCAAGGCAAACGCCTTGTTTGCCTCTCAGTAAATATGCCCCTGACCCCTCCAAATCGCATGTTACTGCAGTATGTATATGGTGCCCATAATTGCACTGTATTTGTGATCTGTGTTTGGGTTTCTGTTAAAATTACATTGGCTCTTGCTGCAAATTGCAGAGGCAATGCATTTAGAACATTTAATGCCTTTTGAATGCACTGCATGTCTGAGTTCAGTAATTGTGTGTGTAAGAGCTGAGTGTAAACATTTGGGTGGCTTCCTTGTAGAATTATTGCCAAATTATTATTTGCAAAAAAGAATAATGCTTACCAACAACTGAAAAAAACTTCTCTGTTGGAGTCTGTTTCTGGAATTTCGCAGCCAAGCATAGCCATGTTCAGATGTAATGATTGACTAACCTGTCACCAACTATGCATCACTCACCCTGATGTGTAATGACCTGCGTAACCTGGCAAAATGTGTTTATAACAAAGCATTGAAGTCATTGCAAGCAATCAATAAAACGTACTCAGTAGCATATAATGCAAAACTGTTAACCTTAGTGAACGGTTAACTGAACAGTTGAGGTCTGAGTTTATATAGTATGACACGTGGAAAGTGGAGGGGGGAAAATACATTTTATTCATCATCAAATGTTTTATGGCATCCAACTACTGACAAAGCACTGAAAGTCATCCAACCACTGACTTTCAACAGCTATAAACTCTATGCTGTTTTTGTGCTGTGATACAGTAGGATAGCATATGGTAGTGGATGCATAAGACTTTAAATGGTGGTAAAGACTCAAGGTTTTTCACCTTCATGCATTCTATGCATAAAAAAACCTGTGTGCAGCAGCTCCCCCCCCAAATACCTACCTGAGCCCCATCTCGATCCAGCAATGAGCATGAGAGCCGTGGCTGTCCTGGGTCTCTCCCTCCTCATTGGCTGAGACAGCAGCAGGACCCATTGGTGCCGTTACTGTCAATCAGCCAGCGAGCCAATGAGGAGAGAGCGGGGGGCAAGGCCGAATCACATCTGTGTATGAATGGATATATCTGGACTGCTCAGGAGCGAGCCTGCTTGGGTGCCCCCATAGCAAGCTGTTTGCTCTGGGGGCACTTGGCAGGAGAGAAGAGCTAGGAGCTCTACAGGGGGAACCGGGAAGAGGATGATCAGGGCTGCTTTGTGCAAAACGACTAACATAATACAACCAATGACATAAAAAAATACATATAAATAGTGCTGTGCAGTACTGTGAAGAAAATAATCCACAAAACACTATGCGAACCTCCTCTTAAAGTGCTAAGTGTCTTAAAATAAAAAACAAAACAATGTAGGCCATGACATATCCATGTCATGGCCTACATTGTGTGTGCAGCAGCTCCTACATTGTGTGTGCAGCAGCTCCCCCCCAAATACCTACCTGAGCCCCATCTCGATCCAGCAATGAGCATGAGAGCCTTGGCTGTAGAGCGGGGGGCAAGGCCGAATCACATCTGTGTATGAATGGATATATCTGGACTGCTTAGGAGCGAGCCTGCTTGAGTGCCCCCATAGCAAGCTGTTTGTTCTGGGGGCACTTGGAAAAAGAAACAAATGAATCTCCAAAAACAAAATTTTATTGCAGTGTTAAGTGTTTCATGCTATATAGTGTAAAAAAGTATCCACATGTACCAACCTATTTGTCCTTGTGTACCAGTTTTATATATAAACATCAAATTTTGCTGCAATTCCTATTGTAGTCCACACATTGAATATAATATCCAAATATGTAAAGTGCAGTAAGTACTGTAAATGTATATAATAAAGTCTTACTGGATACCAATATGTGCCCATTTTTATCCGTGTGTACCAATTTGGACGTAGAGTATACAGACTACCAAAACATGATCTCTATCTCACACTGCACTTTCTTATCAATGAACAATCAGAATATAACATCTACATATGCTCAATTTGTCCATCTGTACCACAGTATGTTCTTATTAAGTTTGTAGCCCAGTATATGTAAACTGCAAGGATTCTTCTTATTCCAAGCTTTTCTCAGTCCTCACCGGTATTCTATAACCGCTTGCCCTCTGCAACATTTATTCCCCCCCATGACCAGGCCATTTTTTGCTTTACGGCTCTGCGTTGCGCAGTCATGAAACACCATACACAAATGCAATCTATATAATTGTTTTCACACAAATAGAGGTTTCTTTTGGTGGTATTTGATCATCACTGTTTTTATTTTTTTTTTGCGCTATAAATTAAAAATGACTGAAAATGTAAACATTTTTTTTTTACTTTTTGCTATAAAATATATCCCATAAAAAATGTTAAAACTTTAATTTCTTCATAAATTTAGGACAAAAGGTATTTGGGTACATGTCTTTGGTAAAAACAAAATCGCAATAAGTGTATAGTAATTGGTTTGCGTGAAAGTTATAGCATCTACAAATGGTGGTATATATACTGGAATTTTTTTATTTATTTATTTTTTTTATACTAGTAATGACGGCGATCGGCAACTTGTAGTTGGACTGTGATACTACTGCGGGCATTCTAACTCTAACTGACACTGGGCAGGAACTGAATAACTGCCACTGACATCTCCAGTGACATTCATACAGTGATCCGTGCTAATAAAATACACTGACACTGTACGAATGACTCTGGGCATCAAGGGGTAACACATGAGGCGATCAAAGGGTTAACTGTGTACTGTGCTGTGATTTAACTATGTCTGTGCTGTGTTTTACTAGGGGAGGTGCTGGCTTTTATCTTCCTGCTGGCAGAGAGATAAAAACCACCATGTCCCCACTGTTGTTTACACTCACAGGTCTCTCTCCTGTCAGCTGCACCACTGATCACCAAGTTCCAGCCATGAATTGTTGGCCAGGACATGGTGATTGACACCTACAGGAGCCAATGACAGCTCACGTAGGATGGAGTGTGTGCATGGCCCCTACCCAGAAATGTAAAATCACGTAAATATATGTGATTTTGCGGAGAACAGCCACCCCTGTAGCAGTAAAACTGTTATACGGTAGCAGGGAAGTGGATAATATATATTCCATTCAAAGTGTATAGACCACCACCATAAAACCGTATGCTCTCATCTTAACCATAGACCTAACTTGTATTAGCTCATACGCACCTTCCTATTTAACTGGGGTTCTCATAAGCCACAGCACCATTTACCCCTCAGGACTCCAGATGCTTCACAATCCAGATCCATCCTCTATGATTTTTCAGACCAGGACAGTGAAAAACTCAGAAAGAAGAAGAGTATATAGTGCTCTCTCTTTCCATTCTATTATTTTATTAAAGATCATAGTATACTTAATTTAAAAAGTGCACTCTACATCAATGCAGTAAGGTAACAGGCACATACATATGAAAACCTCCAAGAAAATGGCCACTCAATCACTTCCTGGTAGTGGCGTATCGTCACCAGGCTCCACCCAACTTCTATGAAAAAGGCACGTGATTGACGTAACACGTTGGGTGAAGCCTGGTGACATCACACCACTACCAGAAAGTGAGCGAGTGGCCACATAGTTGTAGGAGCATTGGTTTTCCAGGTAAGTATGACATGTTTGTTATTAAAAAAAAAATCTACCTTTAACCAATTGCCCTTCTGAGAATTTACTCCCCTTCCTGACCAGACCATTTTTTGCAATACGGCGCTGTGGTATTTTAACCACTAGCCTACAGGGCACTTATACCCCCTTCCTGCCCAGGCCAATTTCCAGATTTCAGCGCTGTTGCACTTTGAATGACAATTGCGCGGTCATGCAACACTGTACCCATATGACATTTTTATAATTTTTTTGTGACAGATAGAGCTTTATTTTGGTGGTATTTAATCACTTCTGGGTTTTTTTATTTTTTCTTAAACCAAAAACCACTGAAATAAAAAAAAAAACAAAAAACGTTTTTTCTTCGTTTTTGTTATAAAATTTTGTAAATAAGTGATTTTTCGCTTTCACTGATGTGCACTAATGAGGCTGCACTGATGTGCACTAATGAGGCTGCACTGATGGGAACTGATAGGCTGCACTGATGGACACTGATAGGTGGCACTGATGGGCACTGATAAGGAGGCACTGGTAGGTGGCACTGATGGGCATTGACAGGCATCACTGATGGGCACTGAAAGGCAGCACTCATATATGGCACTGATAGGTGACACTGACTGGCATTGATAGGTGGCACTGACTGGCACTGTTAGGTGGCACTGACTGGCACTGATAGGCAGCACTGACGTGCACTGATAGGCGGCACTGATGCACACTGATAGGCGATACTGACTGGCACTGATAGGTGGCACTGATTGGCAGCACTGATAGGTGGCACTCATGGGTGACACTGAAAGGCAGCTCAGATGGGCACTGATATGTGGCACTGATGGGCACTGGCAGGTGGCATGGATGAGCACTGAGAGCTGGCACTGATGGACACTGACAGGTGGCACTGCTGGGGCTACACAGATCATCAGGGCACACTGATCATCAGTGCTCTGATGATCAGTGTACATGTCCCCTCCGAGGAATGCTGATTACCAGCTCTGCTCTCCTCACAAGCTGTCAGCGTGACAGCTCATGAGGAGAGAAATGCAGATAACCGGTATTTCCCTGTTTACATGTGATCAGCTGTGATTGGACACATGACCGCTGACAGCTGATCACATGACCGAGCCGACATGTTCGGCTCTTTCTGTTGATCGGTGATCCGCTGTGTCCGAGGGACACAGCGCACCGCCGATCGCCGCGCTGCGCGCTCCTGGAGCCGTGCATGCGCGGTTAGAATGGGAGGACGTCATATGACGTCCTCCCAGAAAGAAAGAACCGCCTTGCGTCCGTCATTTTACTATATGGCGGGCGGGAGGCGGTTAACTGACAATTTCGCTGTCATGCAACGCTGCACACAAATGAAATTTAAGTGCTTTTTTCCCACAAATTAAGCTTTCTTTTGGTGGTATTTCATTGCCTGTGTGTTGTTTTATTTTACGCACTATCAAAAAAAAAAAGACTGACAATTTTGAGAAAAAACTGTATTTTTAACTTTTTGCTATTAAACATGTCCAGTATAAAAATGAAAAAAAAAATCAAATTTTGGCATAAATTTAGGCCAAAATGTATTCTGCTACATGTCTTTGCTAAAATAAATCCCAATACATGTAAATTGATTAAAAGATTTCCATGAAAGAAAAAGTATATTGTTCTCTTTGTATTGTTTCTGGTGTGTGAAATACCTGGTGTTCTTGCCAGTCCCTTTGCTTTCCTATTAAAAACAGACCACACTAGGCATGAGAGCACAGCTTGGTCAGTTCTCTAGCTGTGCTGGGAACACAGCCTGCTTTCCTCAAATGATCAGTCGTGTCCTGACATGCCCCGTCCACACAGCTATTCACTGGGAAGACAGAATGGAGGGAATGTGATCCCTCCAAAGGGGAAAATGTACTTATATTGTGTTTATATCTATACATAAATGTTTTGCCTTTCATTTCTACTTTAAACTGAATGGGTTGTTTTACAAGGTGAGGGTTTACGTATAATTTAACATGGAAAGAAGTGCAGTGGGTTTAAAATGTGATTTTGGAAGCTTCTTTCAATTATCTTGGACCTGTTCTTGTGAAAAAATAGCTTTTTTTATTAGCTCCATTATTTTATTTTATTTTTTCACAGAAAGAAAAAAAGGGTTAAGCATAAATGTAAAGACAGTACACAAATCAAACAGAAGATACAAAACACAGATACAAAGAACATCAGTGGGAATAAACTAAAATACCCTGGATGGACTTTTGTCTTTTTTTCAGCTAGACTAACTATGTAAAATACCCTAAATATGTGAAAAAGTACAGGAAAATATCACGTAAGCAGATGAGAGTAAAATAGAGAGTTTCCACTTTGGTGAAATTTTGCCTACGTTGATAATTTACTGACTAAATACATTTCACCGAAATCATTAATTTCATCTATAGTTGATTCATATAGGTGCCTAGGAGTGGCGTCACAGCAAGTGCATCTGAGTGTCAGGAGGTTGGAAATGGTTGACCAAAATGATCTGATAAAAACTCTGTGATCTCAACTGAAGATCTCATAAGAAAGGGGAAAAAAACCTTTCACTGAGTTCTCATACTAGAGAGGAGCATTAACTAAGTACAACACCGAAAGATGCCCGTACAAGGAGAGTTCTATTTAGCAATCATGCTACCTAGGTACACTTGAATGGAGAAACAGTCTGGATAAAAGCGCACAGATGTGTCCCAAAGGAAATAAGTGAATGGTATATGTCAACTATGATTGGTGGAGAAAAAACTCACTGCTGCCATGGTAAAAACAGATCAGTTTATGAACAGGAGCCAGGCGCTGTGTAGTTTTGTGATAAAAGTAATACACCTTATATGGAGGTGTGCCTTTAATAATTCATATGGTAAAAAAATAAATAACCAGCCTGTGGCTTTAAGAAGCCAGGTTCCAAGATGGACGGCCCGTCCGCTCAGAGGGAAGCAGTGGAGTAGAATACCTGTCAGTGCAGGGACTACGTGTACCCAACGTCCCAGCGTCCTGGATGACGTCACCCACGATGTGGAGAGACGGAGAGGGAGGGGGGGGGGGGGGGGAACTCTTGCTGGAGCTGCAGCTTTAGAAGGAAGAGACCGGTTGCCAGGACAACATGTTTCGCACACATGCGCTTTATCAAGTCTCCCCCCCCTCCATCTCTCCACATCGTGGTGACGTCATCCAGGACACTGGGACGTCGGGTACACGTGGTCCCTGCACTGACAGGTATTCTACTCCACTGCTTCCCTCTGAGCAGACGGGCCGCCCATCTTGGAACCTGGCTTCTTAAAGCCACAGGCTGGTTATTTATTTTTTTACCATATGAATTATTAAAGGCACACCTCCATATAAGGTGTATTACTTTTATCACAAAACTACACAGCGCCTGGCTCCTGTTCATACACTTGAATGGAGGCACCCCTTTATACAAGCTCATCTTCTCTGTCAGGTGATTAATTTAGTAAACATTTTAGTAAAATAAAGAATAAACCCAAAATTCAATCTGTGCAGTCATCTCAGTCACTAGGCAACACAAGCTTTAAATGGGTTGCAAGCTAACACCCAATAGGTGATTTCACCACACCTAATCCAAAACAAATATAATGAAGAGCTACCCAAAATAACAAAATCCCATGCAATAAAACAGTGCAGCAAAGTTACCTATGAAATATCACTTTCATAAATATAACAATTAAAATATAAGCAAGTAAATGTTCATTAAAAAGTAGCCCTGAAACAAAGTGTGAATGCCACATCTTATGGCAGCTCCAGAATCCTCTTCTTACATTTAACACTGTGTGAAAATATGTGTGCTCTCCACCCAGTGACAACCTAAATCTGCTCACCTCCACCTTAGACCTCTAATGGTGAACCAAGGTCATATAGTGCTTCTTGCCCCAACCAGGCTGGTATTAATGGAAGCAGATCTCTGGCTCCTCTTCCAGCACTCTCCCACTCATACTACACACATACCAGCTTTTTTTTAAAATGATAAATAAATTCACAGATTAAAACACTTACACAAGTAGTGCAATAGATTGCCAATCACAAAACACTCTCCAGTATGTACAATCAATTGTCATATACAGATCTCTCATTGCTCCACACCAAACTCCCAGAACTGAAGCTTGATGGCATCATTGAACATGATGCCGCCCCAATGTCCATTATGCCCAATCACTGGGACTTCCTCAGTAGGTCATCAGAGTCATCAGCAGTCATTGGAACGTGTCTAAACCCCCTATAAGTTTTACATCCGATCGCTAGGACTTCATCTGTAGGTTACGAGGTTTGTACTGAAAGTAATGCCAAAGTGTGCATAACTTTTTTAACCTAGGTTGTTCAAATTTTACATGTTGATAGAGTAACGCTTCCTCTATAGTAACTATTCTTCTTATTTTTCATTGCGGGTAAATAATGGATTCCAGGCAGAAGCAACATGCCATCACTGAGTTCTTAATGAAGGAAGGGTTCAGGCTTTCCGACATCCACAGAAAGCTAAAGAATGTTTATGAAGATGACACCATTGACAAGAGCAATGTTTTGTCATTGGTGTCATCTCTGTAAATATTCTGTAGCCTTCTGTGGGTGTCATAGAGCCTGCACCCCTCCTTCCTAAGTAATGGATTCCAAGAAAAAGCAACGTGTCATCATTGAGTTCTTGATGAAGGAGGGCTGCAGACTGTCCAGTATCCACAGAAGACTGTTTATGGAGATAACATCATTGACAAAAGCAATGACAAGAGCAAGAGTCATTTCCGTAAACATTCAGTTGCCTTCTGTGAATGTCATACAGCTTGCACCCCTCCTTCATAAATAATGGATTCCAAATCTTGATGAAGGATGGATGCAGACTATTTGATACCCGCAGAAGGCTACAAAATATTTACAGAGATGACACCACTGACAAGAGCAATGTCTTGTCATTGGGGACTCTAGTCAACGGTGTCAACTCTTTCGTCAAGAACTCAATGACGACACATTACTTCTGCTTGGAATCAATTACTGCAATGAAAAAGAAGAGTTACTATAGGGGAAGAGTGACTCTACCAAGATGTGAAATTTGAATGATTTATGTAAGTTAATGGAAAATGATGCCCACTTTTGCATTTCTTACAGGTCAGGCCTCGTAAATAAAACTTTTTAGCAAACCTCAATATTATTGAAATTTGTTATTTTTGAAAAGTCAGTATAAATGAAAGGTATTGGTGAAAAAAATTGCTTGCATGTGTAACCAATCTTTTTTGTGTATTTATACATCTTGGCCCATGAAACTGGCAGGGTTGTCACCTATATCTACATAGTATCTGTTCAAAGGTGTCCCCTCTTTTTCATCTCAAAAAGTAGGGAAGTATGCATGCCTCTGTCATGCCTACGGAGACAGGTATATTTTAGCTCTCCCAACAGAGATGGGTATACTTTAGCTCTCCCAACAGAGACGGGTATACTTTAGCTCTCCCAACAGAGACAGGTACACGTTAGCTCTCCCAACAGAGACAGGTACACGTTAGCTCTCCCAACAGAGACAGGTACACGTTAGCTCTCCCAACAGAGACGGGTACACGTTAGCTCTCCCAACAGAGACAGGTACACGTTAGCTCTCCCAACAGAGACGGGTACACTTTAGCTCTCCCAACAGAGACAGGTACACGTTAGCTCTCCCAACAGAGACGGGTACACGTTAGCTCTCCCAACAGAGACAGGTACACGTTAGCTCTCCCAACAGAGACAGGTACACTTTAGCTCTCCCAACAGAGACAGGTACACGTTAGCTCTCCCAACAGAGACAGGTACACTTTAGCTCTCCCAACAGAGACGGGTACACTTTAGCTCTCCCAACAGAGACAGGTACACTTTAGCTCTCCCAACAGAGACAGGTACACGTTAGCTCTCCCAACAGAGACAGGTACACGTTAGCTCTCCCAACAGAGACGGGTACACGTTAGCTCTCCCAACAGAGACAGGTACACGTTAGCTCTCCCAACAGAGACGGGTACACGTTAGCTCTCCCAACAGAGACAGGTACACGTTAGCTCTCCCAACAGAGACAGGTACACGTTAGCTCTCCCAACAGAGACGGGTACACTTTAGCTCTCCCAACAGAGACAGGTACACGTTAGCTCTCCCAACAGAGACGGGTACACTTTAGCTCTCCCAACAGAGACAGGTACACGTTAGCTCTC